AGCATCCGAGCGACAGGCAGGAGCGATCGAATGGGAGAAGGAACTCAATCGCCAAGCAAAAGAAGAGGAAGAACGCCGGAAGGCGAAGGCGCTGTATCGTTCAGAGAGGATGGCACAAGCCTTGGAGCATGGAAAGGAGGTCCAGCGTCGCCGGCAGGAAGAGTTCCGGGATGTGGTGCCCCATGCACGGCCAGCCCATCTGGCGAGGATCCAGCTCCGTGGCCGGAGGACATGTCTTCATCCTCCGGCGAAAAGTCGGCCCGGAGTCGCGACAAACGTTGAGCCAAGTCGCTGAGGCGGTTGGAGAGGTTCTCATGTCTGTGCTCCAAATCATCTCGTTCATCAAAAACTGCCAAAACGTGTCCAGAACCCTCAAAATGACGAACATGTTCATGATCGACTCGTGCACGTTCATGAGCAACTCGTGAATGTGCATCATCATGGACATGTACATGAGCAACTCCAGAAACAACCTGTTGAGCATGATGAACTACCTCCGTGGAGCCTGAATCCAAACCAAGACTTTCAAGAAACTCTGCAAAATCATCAGCACATGAAGTGTCAGGACTCTCAGTGACGTTGTCGTCTAGTGCAAAAGAAACACGTGCCGTTGAGACTGCTCCCAATCTTTCATCACTCAAGTTGGCTTCCCCGGAGGGGTTCGGAGGCGCACCAGCCAAGTTCGCAGGCTCTGAAAGGAGCCTCTCAGGATCTTCAGGCTCAGGAGAAGTATAGGAGGTTGTAGCGCTCCAGGCTCAAAGGGTCGGGATGCCCTCAGTCCCGAGTGGTGCCGTAGTCCGCGAGGCGTTGTTGGCTGTCGCCTCCAAAAGCAGACCAGTCGGATCTGGTGGAGGAGGGCCACCGGTGTCCTCCATGGCCAGGCGGTCGGGGTCCTCGAAGTCGCCTTATCAGGAAATGCAAGGATTCGGGGATCTCCTGCAGGTCCAACACCAGATGCCCTAAAGACCCGGTAAGTCAAAAACGGGGAGAGTCTCTGATTTTGGAAAACAGGTATGTTTTTGAAAGAAAGACAAAAAAAATAGACTTTGATTTTAACTTTACGACAAAAAAATTGACGGAAAAGTTCAAAGAAAGTCTAATTTCAATTTAGACTTTTCCGACAGATTTTGACGAAAAAGACAAATTGTGAATTTGTCTTATTTCACCGAATTTGTCTTACGCCTTCCAGAAACTGCCAGCAAACTACTTCGTGGCAATTGTCGAAACTACCTCAAAACTACTCCACAGAAAGGCACGTTTTGGGAGTATACTTGTGAAGCTTGAAAAGAAACAGAGACCACCACCACCACCACCATCAACACCACCACCACCACAAAGAAACCACACAAGACTTGGCCATCGTCACTAACATTTACACAAGTAGTCTAAGTTCAGTGCCACACTGACTTCAACACTGTTCCGTGCAAACTAGAAGCAAGGACACATAGCAGCACAGATACACGCGTAAAAACAGACAAAGCGCACATACATACATACATACATACATACATACACGCACACAAGCAATTTAACGTGACACTGACAAACAACACATAACATAACATAAATGCACACGCAGTCAAACACACATTATGTCGTGCCCTTGCGTCCACATAGCCATGTCACACATAGCATTCATGTTTGTGACAGTGGTATATATACACTTGCAGTGCGCAAATGCATTGGACAGCTTCGCTCAAGGTCTCGCTCAAGGTATATTCGCTCAAGGTATATTCGCTCCAGGTAAATAGAACGCTCGAGAGACGCGTTTGAAAAGGAACCTGTTGACTCTGTAGACAGAATATTTTTGGAGACGCCCAGGATAAACCTCATGAACCTATTTGTTTTGATGAGCGTGAAGTTTTCCAGCTCACACAGCTTCAAGGTTGAACCTTTTTCAGACACACATTCTTCAACATTGCTCAAGAATGGCTTTGCCTAGCCTTTGCCTATTATATCCATCAATCCTTAGGATTGGTCCATGAAAGTCAGATGCAGGCCCAGACGATATCTGGTAATGAGTTTCAAGACACTTTGAGACGGTTGCTGCCCTTGCACGCATGCTTTGCACAAATGAGACATGCGTTTTTGCATGTCTTCCCCGGTGAAGCACCAAGTCAACCTAGGAGAAACAAATCGCGACATCATCGAGATGTGTTGGCAAAAGTGAGCTTTCTGCGTCAAACTGAAGAGCTTTTCCGCCAAAAAGTGCTCGGCTACTGCAGAGAGCACCAGAAGCATGGCCGTGCAGGTGTTTTCGAAGTAGGCAGCGACATCGGGCGGAAGCGCCATGTCTTCTTTATACCTGTTCAACGTTTCCTCCAACTCGAAGTTGAGCTGCAGGTAGGAATGGATTTGCTTGTGGATCTGCAGGTTGTTGTTTTGATACTTTTCCCACACGCTCAACATAGGGCCTGCGAGCCATTTAATTTCTGCGCCCTTGCCGCGAAGCTTGGGATACTGCGGGTCCTTTCGCTGAAACATACTCACCTTCATGGTGCGGAACCTGCTGGGTGTCTTGTGGGCGTTGTAGTACTCGCGAATGTCCTTCCAAACTTGTGCAGTGTTCTCCGTAGGCGATTTCTTCAAAATGTAATGCGTGAGCAAACTTAAGATGCTGCCGTACGTGAACTGATCGTGGCCGAGGTACTTACAATGAAGCCAATCGAGAGCTATCAAGTGAGGAGTAAAGCCGTCAATGTCAAACAGTGGACTTTTGGAACGTTCAGGCCACTGGCGCCAGCCATGGGCGGTCCACTGCACAGTGCGCCAGGCAGCTTTCAAACTAAAATCCAACCACGAGTAAGGGCCTTTGCCTTTACATCGGCATAGGCTGCATGGCCCGGAGGCCAACGTAGAGCGTGGAAGCAAGAGGGCCTTCGCGAGATAATCTAAGTCGCCCAAAATGGACCAAAGGGCAGCATAGTAGCCATTAGCTAGTGGCTTCAGCGCTTTTCGACCGGCTTCACTCAACGGAGGGAACCTTGCTTGTGTGGGGCAGCTGGCGACTCATTAAAGACAATGGTTTCAGTGCTTCTTGAGACCTGCTTCACTCAACCAGGTGAGCCTTATGCGTGTGTGTGCGTGGTAACACTTGTCCTTTTTCCTTTTCCTTTCCTTCTCCTTCTCTTGTTCATGGCAGGGTATGAGTGTTTCTCTACCTCAAATATGGTTCTTGCTAATTGGGACGTTCTTTGTTAGATGTTCCAAAATATCAGCTAACAAATACTGTAACTTGTAGTGAAAGCCTGCCAAGCACTAGACACGCTTATTTGCCAAACACAAGTTCAATGACGTGATTGCGCACACTCTGGGTATGAACTTGTTTCCTCTCCAGGTATGTGTGCATCTCTTGGCGCTATGCGAGATACCACATTTCTTGTGTTTTGTCGGAATGATATGTGATTGGAATAATGACTATAGCCGCTAGCCGGTTCAAGAACGCTGAACCATATAGACCAATGTACAATATTGTTGACCGACGTGCTAAGTTTTTTACGAGAAGGAAGGCTAGTCTGAAAACAAGTGGCTTTGGAATCCAAACACCTTGAGAGTCCAAACACCTTGAGAGCCCAAACACCTTGAGAGACCAAACACCTTGAGAGATGAGAGATTTACCTTGAGGGACGCCTTTTCTTGTCTTTGAACCCTGGCCTACAAAACCACACCCCAGACTATTCTGGTTTACATATATGGAACATTTGCCAAACTTGTTTGCGCCGAGCTGCATTTTTCCTTGCCAATCCCGGTCGGGCCACTGTCCCCGTTCCAACCACTGCAAAGACCAAACCAAAACTTTGAAGAACGACCCCAGTGTATCCTGGGCTTGGTCGTCAAGGTTGTACTTCCGCAGCTTCTCCCAACATCCCCAGATGAAAAACTGGGACTCTTTTGTTGAGCCCAATCCACACATGCTAGTCCACGAAAACACCGTAAGCAGCGCACACCATGCCTTGCCCACACCGACTACCGGTACATCATCACCGTGTAGTGAAAGGGGTACGCAAAACCGACGGTATTCGGGTCTGCTGTCCAAATTCCGGGCTGCAAATGACGGATGCAATGAATTGGTCCTCCAAAATGACTCAAGCCGCTCTTGAGATGGAACAACAAACTTGGACCACGCACTGGGGTAATGGTGGTGCAACGCGCTGAACATTTCGTGAGGTAGAAGGAATCCTTGAAGTAGGTCACCACAGCTGAATGGCAACTTTGTCAATGTAGGCACTGGAATGTGAATCCTCATCGGCAGGTTTTTCATCAAATCTGAATAGCACTTGTTCTGGTACTGGCCGCCGCAACCAACTGACGCAATCTTCTGCAGGTGCCCCAGGTCTGTTTCTGCTGCTTTCATGCTGTTCGCATCCTTGTAAGCTGCATCAGCTATTTTCTGAGCCAGTTGCGCACTAATGTCACCCCAAGCAAACAGCTGCAGCAGCAACACTGCCAAAACTGACTGTTGTGGCAGAGCTTCCTCCCTGGCTTGCCTTTCCCGGCGCTGTCGAATGCCACCCCTCCGCTTTGGCGGCAAAGGGCCATCACTTGAACGCACCCGCTTCATGTCGATTGAAATTGCCTTACTTGTTGCGGTATTTTCTCACGATGTTACTATGAAAGTTGGGCGACAAGTTCTTAAAATGAAGTAGTGTTGGCAATATGTTCAACAGAGTGAAGCTTCTTGTGGTGACACAGTTTTTTGGTGGCTTTGGCATGTGATAGTAAGAGCTCATGGTGTGCAAACACTGCTTTCTTGGGCAAGGTTTTTGGAGGCAAAAAACATTTAAGAAACATGGTTCACTCTCAGGTCCTTGGTAAACATAAACTCTCACAACGCTGTCACTCAGAACTCTCATGGTACGCTCAAGGTGCTAGCACTCAAAGTCAAAACTCTCATGGTACGCACAGTCAAAGTTTCATGAAACGCGCGTGTAACCCTCGACCATCAATGAACAGGTTCAGTCTTGCTTATTGGGGCGTTTTTGAAGGTGTCCGCTTCTCACCTTTTAGGGTTGTCAAAAACCATGCAAAAGGACACCTTGAATCATTGCTAGCAAAGAACTTGCACTGAGAGCATCTTGCAACAGCAGAGCCTTTTGCAACGCAACAGCACAGCCTTGCATTTGCAATCCCCATTTATGCTTGAGACATGCCTCCCGCCTCCCATTGTTTGCCTGATGCCCAAACACGTATTAAAGCATTCTTTGGGCCTAAAAATATGATGGATACCATGTCTTACTCTTTTGTCGGGAGAATCTCAAGCGTCGCATTTGGTCAAAAATCAAGACCAGCCTCAATTTTTTGAGGACTTCAAAAGGCCGCGGGTGCTCTCGATCAGCTCATTGTACGCCTGAGTATCCTCAGCCATTGCCACCATGAGGGAATCCAAGTTACTCTTCGTGGCCTCCAAGCCATCGGGAAGCTCATTGAACTCTTTCATGTGGGTCAACTTTTGCAAGTGCGTTGCACATGTGGCATGACCCCGCTTGAGCTTCTGCAAGTTCTCATGGTTCTTTCCACCGGGCCAGCCACGAATGAGCGCAGTTGCCTCCTTCATCAGCTTGTTCTGGGAGTCAGCAGCCTGATCCACAAGATCCAAGATGCTCTTTGGTATTTTGCCACCATTCTCAAAGACTTTGACATCCTTGGGCGTCGCATAGGACCACTCCCAACCAATGCCATCGAAAGCTCGCTTCAAAAGGCCCTCCTGCTCCTTTGACATGGTTCGTTTTCCACTCAGGTTTTGCTCCTGAGTAGTGCCTTGCTTCGTACCCTTTTTGTAGGATGTGTACTTCCACATGATCTTGCCATTTCCGCAGTCGACAGACTCAATGTCCCCATCTGCAACGGCCTTTGCCCAGGCCTTCTCGTCATTGTGAAAGTACAAGCCTTTCAGGATTGATTCTGGCATGGCATGGTCTTCTTCCTTGGAGTACTTGGTGTTGTAAATTTTGCGATGTTCTTCAAAGAGGGGATCCTTGAGGTTCAACACCAACTTGCCACCATCCTCCCTGACGAAGAGGGCATTGATGCACTTGGTTTTCCATTCGCGTGGGCTCGCTGCCTTCTTGCTCTCAACTTCGATCAAGTCTTGCACATATTGGGGAAGCTGGTCCTTCATCTTTGCATATTTCTGACCCTTTGCTTTGTCCCGTCCATCACTCGTTCCATTCCCCTCCTGAGGGTGCTCCATCTCCTCGTCATCCGCCTCAGCAGCTACCCGCTTCGTTTTGTTGATCGTCTCATTGATGCTGCTGGCAGGCCTCTTCTTTGTGGAAGGATTTGAGGCAGCAGGCTTCTTCATTTTCGATGACACCGCCATGGGCTTCTCTAGGAAAAAGCAGCGCTAAAGGTTCTGAAACTCAAAATCTTTGCACAGGTGGTACGCAGGTGCCAAAATTAGTTTGACCACTCAACATATCACAACATAGTTCACACAGCTCACAGGTGAATCACTCAGTGGTAGTTTCGAGGAAGTTTCCTTGAAACTACATCACCTATATGTTGTAGTTTGAATGTACTTTGAATGCAGTTTGGTGGAAGTTTACGTAATGATGTGAGGTAGTTTGATAATACATATAGCTAAAACACAAGGAACTCACATGTAATGTTTACAAAACTGCCAATAGCACATTACAAACTGCCTCACATATGAGTGCAAACTTCCATTGAGTACCCAGGTAGTTTCAAGGAAACTTCCTCAAAACTTCAACTCTCAGTCGGTATATTTTCTAAAAACAACGCTGCTTCTGCTCTGCGCAATCGAAGACCTTGGCTCAGCGTTTGCTTCTGCGCATCCTGCCGGCTGCCTTCTTGCTGGTCTTGTCCTTCTTGCTCGAAGTCTGGGTGTGCTCGGCAGGGGCAGGGGGAGGTAGGTCATCCATCCAGGCAAACATGTTGTTGGAGCCGCTTGAGGAAGAAGCACCAGTGTCATTCATGCCAAAGAAGGCCAGCTCGACTGGGTTGTCCTTGTCCTTCTCCTTCTCCTCGACATAGTCTAGCTCCACAGGGTTTTCGCCCTTCTCTGCAATTTCCATCTTTGAAGTCTCAGCATCTCCATCCTCCTGTGTATCCAGACGCTGCTTCTTCTTTTTCTCAAGCAAGTTGAAGACTGCCCCCATCAACATTTGCGTGTAGGGGTCGGGGCCTCCACTGCCACTGGTCGAGACAGAGCCATCAGCCCTGAACTCCATAACGTATCCACCCTCCATTGCGGCTTGGAAAATAGAATGAAGGGGTAGGGAACTTGGTGAAAATTCAAAATTGAGCCTCGGTTCTAGGCAAGAACTGCTTGAAAGCAAGTTGAAGAAAGGGTGGCGGAACCAGAAGGAAACCTAATTTGTTTGGTATGGTATTCTAAATGTGTTTTGTTTGTGCGAAATTGATGATTGATGAATGCGCTTTTCAACAAATCACTGTGTCAGATAGTTTCGAGCGATGTGACCTTTGACTCGATTTGATTGTTACATACCTCAAAGCCTGAACCAATTCAAACTAAAACCGAGAACTGCCCAGCTTTTTTCCACCGGCACCAAAAGTCAGGTCATGAGCGGTCCCATCCCAAGTTTGCGCGCAGCTGAGACCTTCTTGTCAATGGTGGTTGGTCTTCTTCCAGTTTTCGTTTGTAATCGTTCTCTTCCTTCTTGACCTTCGTCCAATGGCCAACTGCAGCTGAAACTCCAGAGTTCTCTTCCTTCTTGACCTTCGTCCAACGGCTAACTGCGGCTGAAACTCCAGAGTTCTCTTCCTTCTTGAACTCCGTACAAAGGCTAACTGCGGCTGAAACTCCAGAGGCTTGGCTATCCACCTGCACACCGTCCCCCAAAAAAGAATCCTGCTCTTCCCACGCCGGTTCATTTTTTAGCGCCCTACCCAAGGTTGACATCCTTGGAATAGCTCTCTCTGCGTGGATGGGTCGGGGAGAGAGGCTAGACACGCAGCTGTTGCTCAATCGCCCAACCACGAGGTCAACATCATCAGCAGTGAGCATTGCGATAAACGCCGAACACCACTTTTGCTCCATTGCAGACATACGACGACTCCGAATGATCCTGATGTCATCCACAGTGACATAGGTGAAACCCATCTCCCCGACGGTCTGGTGAAGAGCTTCTTTGGTCACCAGTGTTGAGTCTAAGTGCTTGATGTAGACACGGTGGGCCATGACTGCGCACCCCATCAGCAGTGTTTGGAGACTGCAACGAGTATATAGGTAAAATACATTAGATACTGTACTTTATTTGGGGTTGGTGAACTGTTTCCCAAAAAGTATGTTTGCACAATAGTGGCAAGTATCATCCATATCATGACCCAATCTGGCCACAAAACAGATGCTTCACAGTGTGGTGAATGAGCACTAAAGCGCTGAGTCGGTAGCACAAATAAAAACCGATATGCTGAGCGGGACAAACAGCAAAACAACAGGCAAGTCTCTCAGATGGTCGACTCTCAGCAGGTAAACTCTCACGGTAGAAACAACATAATGGCAAATGCAACAACACTCCTGCGCACCATGCTATTTACAGGAACAATGACCAAATGCGGCTGTGGTTTCAAAACTTCCGCAAAGAACAAGAGGCATTCTGCTCAAGATTTTCCCCACGCTTCCCCCCGCCAGTTGTGTTCACACAACTGGTTCCCTGTAAGAGCTAATGTCAAGCCTTGCTGACATCAAAAGCACACATACACTAGTTCAATCCACGTCTATTGCCCGGCTTGCGCCCTCCTTGGGCGGGGTGATGTTCTCTTCCGATTTCTTCACTTTCTTTGCCTTGGGCGCCTCCTTCTTTCCACTTGTTTGCTTCACCGACTTCGTTGCGGCGGTGGGCCACAAGCGTTCAAACTCCTCACTGGCGGCCTTGCTGCCTTCCCTGGCAGCTGCGAGGCACTCCTGGCGACTCTTCCATTGGCGCCAAGCTTCGTCGTAGGCATAGTGGTAATAGCGGCTGGTCCACCTCTTCCTGTTCTTGGCCCGGTCGATGGTTGGGTCGAAACCCTCTGGAGTGTCAGGGTAGTGCTCCCCAGTGTCTCCCTCATCGCGTTTCTTCGACTTGCATTTCAACTTTTTGAGCTTTGCTTGGCCCTTCTCCTTGGATTCCTTGGCTTCCTGTCCCTTCTGGCCACCCTTGCCTGGTTTGGGGCCAGGCTTCTTCTTGCCCTTACGAACATTCTTCTTCTTTTTTGTGACTGCCTCCTCAACCTCTTCATCTTCTTTGGCCGATTCTTGTTCTGTGTCCTCCTTCTCCTTTTTCTCCGCTTCCTGTTCCTCTTTCTTCTTCTTGATGGCCTTGTTGGCCCTTTGGAGTTGCGAGTTGAAGCCTTTGTTGAGTGGCTCCTGGGCATGCAAGACCTCTAGAGTTTTGGAATCCACAACCCCGATGCTCATCAGCCCAGCAAGGAAGCCTCCAAACTGCACGTTGCTTTCAGGCAAGCCTTTCACTGGTGATTTGTTTTTTTGAGGTTGAACGCCCCCTTCAACAAAACTTGGTCGAGAGTTCACTGCAGCGAAGATGGCCAATGGATCTTTCTTCCCAGCTGCGGCCGGCTCTGCAGCTGCAACAGGCCTTGATTGTGGAACCAAGGCCAGCTGCTTGGATGGGTCTGCTGCAGCTGGAGGAGGGCTTCCTTGGCTCTGTTGGCTGTCATCGGTTTCACCATCGATCTCAGTAATGAGCCCCAAAACCGTTTCAAGGGTTGCAATTTCATCTGGGTCACACTTGCGGAAGCAGCGGCTTCTATTGATGTCACTCTGCTTCAAAAACCGCAGGTGGGATAAGCCGATCCGAATCCATTCATCGCACGCTTCTGCAAAGTCCTGTTGGTTCTTCTTTCCTGTGTTCACACCAGATCTCCTCTCTTGTAACTTCTCTAAAGCAAGCCTGTGCTTCTTGGATGGAATCACCGCGTTGGGTGCCAAGGCAAGGTACTTGCGCCACAAATTGCTGAGGCGGCACAACCACGCAGGATTGGGGGCTGTCTTCCAATTCATGTTGGCTGGCGGTTGCAAATGCGCCTGTAGCCCATTGTTGCCAGCCTCGTCCAAAAACGCCTCCACACACTGAAGTAGGTCCCCAACTCCAATGCATGGGTCAGCTACTAAGCGCTGCTTCATGCTGTAGGAAAAAACAGTGCTTGCAACATGTTGTGAACACATGCCCGCGCGCAAAACCTGTGGCAGGACCTGCTCCAACTTCCCATGATATGCGGTTTTGTGTGCCTGGAAGACGCTGCCTGAACCATGTGTGATGACGAGTGATCCTGTGACAAATGAAACTATGACAACGTTTATCTCAAGGAAAATATCTTACAAGGTAGATTTCTCTCAAGGTAGATTTCTCTCAATGTACATGTCACAGTAAGATCCAGATCCACTCCCCCCTTCCCAAGTCCCATGTTCTCTCAAAGCTTCAGCTCAACAATTCAAATGTGTTCAATATATTCAGCATCAAAACTGTAGCACTGGCTCATTTTTCCACAAAAAGCAGCTGTGAGTCAAATCGAACACGTTCATCTCTGACATCTCAAGCGTCTCGGTTTACGCGATGATGCACGCAAAAATGAGCCAGGGAAGCAACAAACCTCAAGTCCGCCAGCCACTGGCCAATGCCAATCTCCCCCTCCAGCTCAGCATATTGCTGCAAAGATTCAACCAAGTCCATTGCACCACATAGCTCTTCTTCAAGGATGCTCGCATGAGGTAGCCAACCAATCACATGCAGGTCGCCAGCCACTGGAGCTGGCGCAGCCGATGAAATAGGGATTTGTGAGGCTTCAGCAGGACAGCAATCTTCAAACAATTTGCAGGAAGTAAGGACGCACCAACATTCTGCCAAAATCAACGTCAAACGGTGGACTCCCGATTTCCCAAGGATGGACCTGAAGCACTCCCTCATGCTCTCCAGCTGCTCTGCTTTGTCAGGTTGGTCTTCTTCACTCCCAAGTTGGCGCCACCTAAGCATGAAGTTCACCAGCTTCACATAGAAGACTTGGTCCATGGTCGCCATGTGGAAACTAACCAACACACACAAGAAATTCGGTGTCTGAAAACGTCCCCTGTAAGGACGAGGCTGCGCTATCTCCACACATGCAGACATCAAACAAAACAGAACAGCTGATGCACACAGGTCAAGGTGTCATCTTGCAAAATGTAACTCTGACACATGTAGACTGGTGTTGATGCAAAAACAAAGTGAACGCAAACATACATGAGTCGGCCCGGCGTGCAAGAAGGCAAACTGCAAGTTTCAGGCTCAAATACGCACACATACTATGAACAAGTACACCAACACGCTCACATACAGAGTATGCTCCTTTGTCACGTGTGTCCATGATGCATCATAGTGTTTTCTGTGTTTGGCGTTGGGTTGGCCCGTTTGGTGTGACCGCGCGTGCTGGTGCTGGGTTGGGAGTTTGTTGTGTTGCGCTGTTGTGTTTTGTGTGGTGTCGTTCACACAACACGACAAAATCGCAACACATCTACATAAACAACAACGCCACCAACACAACCCACCACCACAACCCACCACAACCCACCACCACCACCCCCACCACCACCACCACCACAAACAACCACCACCACAAACAACCACCACCACAAACACCACCACAACAACAACCACCACAACAACCACCACCAACACAAAAACAACCAACAACCACAACAACAAAACACCACCACCACCGCTACCAGTACCATAACAACACTACCAACAAAAACAATAGCGACAACAACAACAAAAACACAAAACAAGCAATGATGCAAAACGAACAAACAAAAAAAAACAAACAAACAAACAAACGAAACAAACAAACAAACAAACAAACAAACCCACCAACCAACCAACCAACCAACCAACCAACCAACAACCAACCAAGAAACAAGCAAGCAAGCCGAACATTGCACAGCGAAACTAGCAAGGCAGTTTCATCGAACACCGAGGCAGTATCACCAAAGTTGGTGGAGTAGTTTCACGAAAAACACAAGGTACTTTGCAGGCAGTTTTGGGAAGAACACGAAGCACTTTCAAGGCAATTGCCTTGAAACTACCTCGTCATCCGTGGGGAGACGATCTGCCTCAAACACACGGATCTGCCGGATCCGGCAAACCTAGTTTGCCGGATAAGTTAAAACAATTTGTCTGACAAATAAGATGAAAGTCTATTTGTCAATTTAACTATTAGTTAGATTTCTTGCAAAGTTAGATTTCTGACTATAAGACAACTTTCTGTCTTACCGGGTCTTTAGGGTTACAATGCGCGGTACCGCCTCGGTACCGCTTCGGTACCGCTCGGGC